ATCTAAACAATCTCCGTATTTATTTAAATGTAAGCACAGGTGTTCTGAGTGTACAGCACCTGCTGATATGGACTTGATATAACAAATTTCGTTTTCTTTGTTTAGACTTCGCGCTGTAAAATAGAACAATATCACTAACTAAACATTGAGTGGTTCAAGTTTTTGCGTGTGGTCAACTATTTCTTTCATGTCTGTCTAGTGGCACCCCTCTCCCGTAGACACGTCCAAGACCCAGCAGGCGGCCAGTACTGATGAAGTCTGGAGGTGATTATTAAGTACTCGCTGACACTCTCATTTCCCGCCTTCCTGTAGTTTATGGCGGGTTTCCGACACCCCTGGTGGTGATAGAAATTATACCAAGCTGTTTCGCACTGCACTTCAATGAAGTTAGAAAATGGTTTTTCCGCTGCCAAGACCAGAGATCGGAAAATTCCGTGAATGTTAATTATAACAGTAAGTGTGTGTGTGTGTGTGTGTGTGTATATAATCTTCCATTAAGTTTACCCCCTCTGAACATAACTGATTAATAGTAGCTAATAATCTACAGTTCTTTAACAGGATTATATATAATATACATATAAATGAAAGTTAACACTCGCACATCGATGTACAGTATGATCAAATATTTGCCGGGTTATACACGTGCATGAAGAATATATTACTTATTACCATTCAACTGTCCTAAAGTGATATGTATATATACATATGTTATAAAATATTGAATCGTAACAGAATATTTTCCTTATAAATTAAGAGAGTAACTTTAACACTTAAAGAATATATCGTTAGAAAGTAATCATAGTTCGTTACTTATGATTATTTAATTGAAAAGGTTAAAATCTAGCAGGCGTGCACACCTTGTTTCCTTCTGACACAAGTTAGTTTTTATAATGTTATTTTTCTGGTGCGGTATTACACTTGACGAGCTGGTGATTTCTTCCAGAAGAGAGTTGCTCAGATTCACATATTAGCGTGTTTCATTGGTCGAAATTATAAACAAAGGACATAGAAGTAGTATATTCACATATTAGCGTGTTTCATTGGTCGAAATTATAAACAAAGGACATAGAAGTAGTATATTCACATATTAGCGTGTTTCCATATTTCATTGGTCGAAATTATAAACAAAGGACATAGAAGTAGTATATTCACATATTAGCGTGTTTCCATATTTCATTGGTCGAAATTATAAACAAAGGACATAGAAGTAGTATATTCACATATTAGCGTGTTTCCATATTTCATTGGTCGAAATTATAAACAAAGGACATAGAAGTAGTATAACACAACATAACCTATGAACAACAAGAGGGCATTTTGTCCTTCAAGGAAGTCTTAGCACACCCAGCCACTGGAAAAGGAACAAATTTAAACTTGTAGTATTCAAGTTAACTGTTATCAAGTAGATCATTTTAAAAGTATCCACAAAACGCAAATTCCAATACCGTTATGCAGAGAATAAATCGAACCCGGACAGTAAAGGAAAATAAATAAATAAATACAACAAAATCTTTATTCGCACTAATTTGTTGATACAATATTTTAACAACTGGTAGGTTTACGTTTTTCCGTTGACTATCACTAGATGCTGAGGTGAGAGGCTTTCGACACACATCGACAGAGGATCAAGACAGGAAAAAGTTATGTCCGTACGAAACAAATGTAATTCTCATTTTTCGCCCCAAACTTTGAAAACAAACAAACAAACAAACAAAAAAAACGTTACAAGCTTGGTATACGTCTCTTGAAATGGGAAGGGGCAGAAACTGAACTAAAGTAGTATCAATTTATCAGTTTCTAACCTTGCCATGTGCAACCTCAAAAATTACATTTGATTAACAAGAATGTCATATTACATGCAGAGTATTTGCACGAAAGTGTAGAAAAATTACGTGAATATACTTGAAGGAAGATATATTCTATGCTAGTTATGTAAGGTTGAAATTCATGTCTATTTCAGTCATTAACAATCCACGGACCAGCCTTCATAAAAGTATATTTAACCTATCAAAATTATTCCTTCATTATATATTATATAAAACCTTCCACGTATAATTATCCACATCAAGCTTTTAAACATAAATTGAAATTTCAAAAGTATATCTAATAGTTTACTTTCAGTTGGATAAAACTTAAGTCATACATTGAAAGTTGAAGAAAACTAAGTCTTGTTGAATGATAGATATCAGAAAGACTTAATAATATGAATTTTTTTATAAAACCACTTTGTTACACAGTATCAACAAATTAATGTGTACAGTGTTGGTCTGAAATATTCTGATGTTTGATGTGTATAACACTGGAACCTTTATGAACGTGGTATTCTCTGAATCTCCTGATAGTTCTGTCAAGAGGTATCATCAGCCGAGTTTGATGTGTATAGCAATGGAACCTTTATGAACGTGGTATTCTCCATGAATCTCCTGATAGTTCTGTCAAGAGGTATCATCAGCCGAGTTTGATGTGTACAGCAATGGAACCTTTTTGAACATGGTATTCTCCATGAATCTCCTGATAGTTCTGTAAAGAGGTATCATCAGCCGAGTTTGATGTGTATAGCAGTGAAACC